CCCCAAAACCCCAAAACCCCAAAACCCCGTTGGAATATATATGGCTTAAAATAGGATTTATTAATAATAATTAAAATTATGTTAGCAAATAAGAGAAATTCCAAAGTTGCTCCCGATAACAGCGGATCTGGCACTTTAAATATAACTTAATTTAGAAGCAAGTCAGTACTTATGAATAGCAACTTCTTTGTTAATCACTTTAAGCAAGACTCAAGCTAAGAGAGAGTCAACCCTTCTAATGTAAGATTCGAATCGATTAGTAGTAGAAAGGATAGATAAAGCAATCTTGATGCTCCTTAAAATCTAGAAATGGAAAAAAAATTTTAAATTCAACTACCTCAAAACAAGTTTTGAAAAGAATCAATTGTATAAATTCAAGAAAGAAAACTACCAGTTCGACTGACGTCTGAAACTTAGGTTAAAGGGTAACTCGATTTTAGAATGCAAAATTAAAAAAGAATGAAATCTATGATATAGGATCCTGACTCTGCCAATAAAATCTCTAAGTAAGCTTAGACCAAGATGGACAAGGCTAAACAGGAGACAATGTCATTTTTGCAAGATGTTATCAAGGAGTAGAGAAGAAGAACTCAACTCTTGGAATCGTTTACATAATTAAACAAAAAGCAAAAATAGAAGCAGCCATCAATGATATAACGAGTAAAATAAGAATTAAAAGAGTAAAAGTCGTTAAAATCACATAAAAGTAATCGATCTAACAATAATATGAACAATCCAATTATTTCTAGCAGTGACATTTAAAATGAAATGGGCAGAAAAAAATCAGTTAGATTTAATGAGGCTGAAATTTAGAAGGTGGAAGAAGAACAGTTACTTCTTTTTATGAATTAGCCTTCATTAAAGGGACCAAACCCTTTTGGATAATTAGATGAAATTAAGAGATAGAATAGTATGGTTCAAATTTCAAACACACAATTTGATTATGAAAGGAAATCTAAATTAGGACCAAATCCAAAAGTTAGCTAATAACTTTATACAAATAGTGTTCTTGCTGGAGCAGTCTAGCCTTTTTCTAGGGCTAAATCATTTGCTGCAATATTAGATGCTAAAAGAGCCAGTTAGAGATAAATTGAAAGTATTCATAGAGAACTTTAATATCAAACATCAGAGGATCCATCAGTTGATGCCACAAGCAGCGAAGAGGAAAACTTACCCTATCCTTATAATGCATTGCCTGAATAGAACTGGTTTGAGCTTAAGTAGTAACTTAGAACAGTCAATTTAATTCTACAAGAAGCCGATAAGGACAATTCCATGAATATAGATATGAGGCAAAGACATTCTGTGCCCTTACATTCAAAAATATTTGCAGCGAGGCTCTTATCAATTAGCTAAAATAGAATTTTAGAAGAACCAGAAATTGACGAGGAAAGCCATAATGATTCAAAATCTAAAAGGTCAGTTAGTAACTCAAGGTTACTTGCACAAAAGGTACTCTCAGAGCTTGGAATAATTGAGAATGGAAAAATCTAATCCTAAGATAAAAAGAAGCCATCAAAAACTTAAATCATACCAGAATTTAATGAAAATGAATAAGCTCTACAAAAGAAAAAGACAATTGTTGATCCTTATAGATGTCGACCCAAAGTATAATCGAAATGGAGAAGAATGAGAAATGCAATTCTAATTGTTGTAAGGCTCTTAAAAATTCATCAGCAAGTACTATTATATGGAACTAGTGAAAAACTATTGGATATCAATCGTGGAATTGCTAAAGTAAGAGATATTATGATACCAGATGCATAAAAGTAAGGAGATGCTTACGAAAAATATTTAAACTATAAAGGAGACATGTTTATTTGGAGACCTGAGTCATTTGTGTCTAAAATGTGGCAAGGTATTCTGATATTTTTGCTTTTGTACACGGCTACATTAATGCCTTATAAGATTGCTCTGATAGATGATAATGAAAACATCGAGTTATTTTATTTGGACACTGTAATTGATTTCTTCTTTATGTTTGATATATATGTTAACTTTAATACACCAATAACAGTAAAAACAGACGTTTACAATAACAATAGGAAAGATATCATAAATAGCTACCTTAAATCTTGGTTTTTAATAGATTTGTTTGCTAGTTTACCAATGAATTTATTCCAGATGTATTTAATTCCCTAAGAATACAATCTCAAAGGTCAAGACTTGATAAGAATTGCTAGATTACCTAGACTCTACAGATTATTTAGAATGGCTAGGTTAATAAAAATATTAAGGATTTTTAAGTCAAGTTAGATATTTCATAGAATTATGGCATTTTTTAAACTGAATAACTCTGCTGTTAGGTAATTTATTTTTTCATCACTAAATTCATCTTTAGATTGACTACATTCTTTATTTCAGTTTTTCTCTGCGTTCATTTAGTTGGCTGCTTATGGATTCTAGCTGCAAACCTAAGTGAAACTTAAAGTGATACTTGGATTTATAGAAAAGGACTCTAAGATGCTGATGATTATTCTGTTTACCTTGCTTCTATATACTGGGCATTTTAAACTTTATTAACAGTAGGCTACGGGGATGTATCTGCTTAAACCAATGGTAAATAAATATTTATTTAGTGTGATTGAATTTAGAGGAAATGATCATAGCAGTCATTTGGATGATAGTAGGCAGTTTCTTTTATACATTTACTATTGGTAATTTAACTTCGGTCATCTCAAATCAAAATACAAGATAATCATAAATCTCAGATCGAGTAAATATCATTAATCAGTTTTGTAAAGAGACTAATCTCGATAGGACTCTGACAAATAAATTGAGGAATGCTGTTTTTTACATAACTAAAAAGAATTTCGTATGGGCAGATAAAATTAAAATATTCGAAGAATTGCCTGCAAGTGTTAAGAGTGATATTGCTAAAGAGATGCATAGAGGAATCATAAAGAAAATTAGATTTTTTGATGACAAGGATAATAATTTCATTGGCTCAATCGTGCCTCTTTTGAATCCATTAAAAACCTTCAGACATGAGGTGATCTATAAAAAAGATCATCATCCTAACTCCATATTTTTTATTACTTAAGGTAGAGTATCGTTTTTTATTGAAAGGAAAAATATAGCTTTTAAAGATATGATTGAAGGATGCTACTTCGGGGATATTGATATAATATTTAAAAGAAAAAGAAAGTATACAGTGATATCAGCAGTTGATTCTGATTTTTTGACTTTTTCTAAGACTATTTTTGAAGATATTATCTAAAAAGACTACCCTGAGATATACGAGGAAATGACTATTGTAGCTTATGAAAGAGAGAAAAGAATCAAAGATGCCAAGAAAAAGGCTTTAAAAGAGTATAAAGCGTGGAAAACAAAATAAATAAAATAGCAAGAGCAATCAACTGCACGAAGACAAGAGACTGATAATGAGATACAAATGAATGAATCTGAGTTGTATAACTTCATAAAACATAACAACACCGAACTTGGACATGATGAATCAACTAACTAGTTATATTCAGATGATAATGGAATTATTTCAGATAGAAATGCTTTGAAAAAAGATTTGAGTCAAATCAGCGAATCTTTTGAGAAAGAAAATAGTCAATCCCAGAGCCAAAGCTCTATTTCGTAGACTAATCAACAAATCAATAATAATATGGCAAATAATGGTTAAAGTAATACTATAGAGAAATAAAAAAATCAAAATTCAGATCAAAGCTTTCACCAGCCTAAAAAAGGAATACTTAAGAAAATAAGATTAGTTATAAAGCATGATGAAAACAGTGATTAAAATAAGATATAACAAGAGAATTTTTCTCTCGGATATATACATGATTAAGAACCAATAGAAAACAAACTAAATCACATAACATCTCCTGTGTTTAAAAGAGAAAAAACTAAGAGAGAAGATTTGCCTAAAAGTAAGAGATAAAGCACAATAATTATCAAAGCCGGGAAATTTGTAGAAAGAAATGCTTTTTTAACATAAAAGACCTAAATAAACAGAAAAATATAGAGAAGTATGGGTTCTAATCTATCAATTGAACGAAGAAGTTCCAAATTCTTCGGAGAAGGAAGCAACCATAATTACAATCAAAACAGTAGCAATAATAATAACGGAGGTGAAAGGAGATCTTATAAAATGCCTTCAAACTTAGGGACTATTTTCAAGGCCAGTTAGCAATTACAGATTAAGACTTTAAATGAGGATGATTCATAGATTTTGGATAAAGTTAGAAACAGCAGAATCTTACAAGGGAGAATTTCTAAAAGAAATCTAGATAGAATGATACTAAGCAAGTATTAGGAAGATGATGATGACGACGATGAAGTAGAATAAAGCAAAACTAGTAAATCCAATAAGGTCAATTTAGTAGTTGATACATCTTCAGACGATTCTTCTTCAGTAGATGTTAAAAAAGCTACTCCATCCTCATACTCTTCAAATACCTACAATAAAACAGTATCAGATTCAAGCGTAAGCCCTAAAGGATCTAAATTGAATTCTAATATGAACAGTCCTTTAAAGCAAATGAAGAAAGGGGGTAAAAGAAAAAAACTAAAGTTCAATGAAAGTATTCAATCTTAGAGCACCTTTAATCGTCTAGGAACGAATAACAATCTTAGTAGTTCAAGATTAGCAGTATTTAAGCACAGTGATTCACACAGATAAAATCCATCAAGTATGCTAAAGTATGGTACTCCCAAGTTAAAGCATTTGCACTTTCCTCCTAACTACAGAATTTCAGAAAAACTTAACATTCCTCATTTATTAAAGAATGACCTGCTAGATATTAACAGAATTGAGGAGGAAGATCATAAAGAGCAGAAGAAAATAGATAAACTAACAAGAAATCTTTAAAAAGATATGGATAATATTTCAATTAAAATGTAGAAGTAAGCACTATCTTAAAGGAGTTTAGAATAAAAGATTGATACTATTGGTGAGACTATGAATACTCTTATTGGGTAATTAGTTATTATCAAGGAAAATATGATGATGGAAGAAGAATCGCCAATGCCTCTTGATTATGAATGAGTCATTGATTGGCCGATTATTAATATATCTTAATTTCATAATATCTTGATTTTATCATTTGATCCAGCCTCTCGGGGTTTTGGGGTTTTGGGG